AAGAAAGAAAGAAAGAAAGAAAGAAAGAAAGAAAGAAAGAAAGAAAGGAAGGAAGGAAGGAAGGAAGGAAGGAAGGAAGAAAAGGAGGAGGAAGAGGAAGAGGAAGAAGAAGAAGAAGAAGAAGAAGAAGAAGAAGAAGAAGAAGAAGAAGAAGAAGAAGAAGAATCCATTCAAATATATTGGTTACAGTTTTGTTTAAATGACTGAAAACTGAAATGTTGAGGCCAGTGTCCTGTTTTTAAAACTCAAAGCCATGACAGCCTTGGGAAGTAGGAACCGATGAAGATGTCACGAATTCTTGTTCTGTAGATCCCTTTGGGAGCTGTGCTGGGCCTGAAATAAGGCTCTCAGTAACTGAGCCTGAGCTACATTGAAAAGCAAGGCTGAAAGTGAGGCTGATGAGGACTCAGATTTGTCGAACGCAGCGCTATTTGCTGTCCTCTCTGAGTTTATTAAGACGCCATTTGCTTTTGGGCTGGTTACAGTAGCTAAAGAAGACTCTGGGATGATTCCTCAGTGCTGTGAGTCGGCATCGCCTGAGGTCAATGGGTCCTCTATGGCCTTGGAAGGCTGCCATGCCCTGTACTGCGGCCTCTAGAGATCTCTTTGAGACTTAACCAGATTATATCTTCTCTGATGGATTAAGAGTCTCAGAGGTCAGGTTATCAGAAATGACACAAAGGCAACTTACCAGGAGAAGTGGGACAATCTATCTCACTGGGACTTAAATAAATCCTCTAAAACTTTTTTCTTTTTCATAACCAGTGTAAGATTACTATGATAGATGAGGAAGCCAATTTTTATTTCTGTGTATTTCTTTTTCTTAATGTCTTAGTTATTGCCACATTTGTAGATGTCTTTATTACTGTTCGTGTGTGTGTGTGTGTGTGTGTGTGTGTGTATACTGTTAGGTCTCAGTCAGGGACAATGGGTAACTGAGGTGTCCGTTAACATATCAAAGCAGATGGTGCCCACCAGGTTCTTCCTTCATCCTTCAGTCCCTACCTGTTACAGGATGTGACTGGCATACCCACCCTCTACTTCTCCAGCCCAAAGACTGGGCTGCCATTCCCCCAGCTGCCCTTCCTTATATAATCCATCCATTTTGGTTATCTGCACTTTTTCCCCCCTCGAGACAGTGTTTCTCTGTGCAGCTTTGGAACCTGTCCTGAAACTAGCTCTGTAGACCAGGCTGGCCTAAAACTCACAGAGATCCGCCTGCTTCTGCCTCCCAAATGCTGGGATTAAAGGCATGCAACACTACTGCCCACTCCCTGCACGTTTTGGGTTACCCTTTACTCTCTTGGCCAGTCTCTTGGCCCAGACCACCCTCTAAGGCAGCAGCTACTCTCCCCTTCTCCCTGTCCCCACCTCACATGGCCCAGCTCAATCATGTTCTCCCTGGGCTATCAGATATCTCTCCAGTTGCGCTCTCCCTTTTATCTACAATAAACTTTCTCCTCTGCCTACCTAGGAGCAGTCATGGCCTTTCCTTTTTCATTTTTTTCATTCGTGTGTGTGTGTGTGTGTGTGTGTGTGTGTGTGTGTGCAAGCAGACGACAAAGGCCAGAGGTCAGCTTCAAGTGTTATTCCTCAGGATGGCTACCCATCTTGTTTTCTAAGGTACATTTCCTCCCTGGGACCTGATACTTACAGATTAAGATAAGCAATCTGGCCAGGGAGGCCCAGGATCATTCCCATCTCTGTCTCCTCAGTGCTGAGGGTGACAAGGGGGCACTAGCAGGCCGTGTTTTCTATGTGGGTTCTGGGGCCTGTGATCCTTATGCTTGAGCTGCCCCCACTGAGTGGACTGGGTGATCTCCCCAGCTCGAAAACATTATTTATTTATAGTACTTCGAATTGAACTTGGTGCCTCATGCCTGCTAGGCAAGAGCCTTACATTGATTCATATCCCTAGCCGTCTTTTTAATTTTGTAATCTTCAGGTAGAGTCTCATTAAGTCCATGCAGTTGCCCAGGCTGGTCTTGAACCCACTTTGTAATCTCCTGAGTAGTTGGGATTGTAGGCCTGTTCTGTCAGGCCTGTTCTAAAGTTTTGATGAGCACAAATATTTCAGTGACACAGCAGTCTACCAATTTTTAAAGTTTCTACTGTGGGAAGTCTCAGAAACCTGCTTTTTTTATGTGGTTTTTAAAAAATGCACACATAATGAAATTTCCTGTGTAGGAAGTATTCACGGAATATGTACCACGTGCCATTCACTGTTCTAAATAATGAAGATAGGAGAGAACAGAAAAGCACTCTCATTTAGAGTCCAATTAAATGGAGGCAAGCGAACAAAATTCACATATAATTCCAGTGATAGTGTTACAAAGAAAATAATGCAGGGAAGTGCAGAGAAAAAGGAAGCTGTGCATGAAAAAAAAATCCCTCCCAGTATCGGATAACGGCCCTATTTTATTTTCTTTTGTTTTGATTTTCCTGAGACAGGGTAGCCATATAGCACTAACTATCCTGAAACTCGATATGTAGACCAGAAGGGCCTCAAACTCACAAAGATCCTACTGCCTCTGCCTCCCCAGTGCTGGGAATAAAGTCGTGCTCCACTATGCAGACTAGGTGATAGCTCTGTTATTAGAGGGCTTTCTTTGCAAAAACAGAGGCCTGGATTTAGTTCCCAGAAATTCAAAGATTAAAAGATCTCTAGTACCTCATAAAACCCAGACGGGGCAGTATATGATGGTGATCCCAGCTCTGGGGCTAAGATACAGGGGTTTCCTGGGCTCTCTGCTGAGCTTCAAATCAATGAGACTTTGTCTCAAAAGACATAAATGGTATTCCTGAAGATGAACCCAAAGCTGTCTTCCAGCCTCCACAAGTGGCACACATATATACTTACACACACGTTTAACAAAAAGTCCTCCTAAAATGCCAGTAAGAGTGGGGACTAGAATAAGGCAAAAGACCAACGATGTTAAGATTTGGGGAAACACTCCAACCTGTGAAAATAGCCTAAAAGTTAAAGGAGAAAAAAGACTCACTAAGCTAGTGAGATGGTTCAACAGTAAAGGCACTTGCCATGTACGCCTGATGATCTGAGTTTGATCCCTGGATCCCATCTCATCAGGTGGAAGGAGAGAATTAAACTCTACAGTCTCTACCCACTGACTTCCACATGTGCACTGTTGCAGGCATAGTATGATACAACACCCCTTCCTGTCATGCAAACACAAATAAATGTTAACCGTGGCATGCATGTATTCAACTATTCTTTCATTGTTAAGGTGTTCATTGAGGGCTTACTACACATGCCAGGAGGCACTGCGTCAGATGCTTTGGAATTCATCAGCTGACCTCTACACAAAAGGATAGAGCATAAAAGCACATGGCTTTCTGGAGCTCCCTTCAATCAGCGTGAAAAGGAATGAGAAAGGCCAGGATTGCTGGAATACAGGACAAAGAGCAAAATGTCACCAAAAACAACCTGGGAAAATAGGTAGGTGACATCATACAGGCCTTTGAGGCTATGCTATTGTTAGATGTTTTGAATGCATTTTAGACAAGGGAATGAACCTTTACCCCT